TGGTATACCCGTTGTTATAACGATGTTATGGTGTGTCCACTGTGATGGAGATGTTGACATGTCCACTTTGATGGAGATGTTGGTGTGTCCACTGTGATGGAGATGTTGACATGTCCACTGTGATAGAGATGGTGTGGTGTGTCCACTGTGATAGAGTTGGTGTGGTGTGTCCACTGTGATGGAGATGTTGGTAGGTCTACTGTGATGGAGATGTTGGTAAGTCCACTGTGATGGAGATGTTGGCATGTCCACTGTGATGGAGTTGTTGGCATGTCCACTGTGGTAGATATGGTGTGGTGTGTCCACTGTGATAGAGTTGGTGTGGTGTGTCCACTGTGATGGAGATGTTGGTAAGTCCACTGTGATGGAGATGTTGGCATGTCCACTGTGATGGAGATGTTGGCATGTCCACTGTGATGGAGATGTTGGCATGTCCACTGTGATAGATATGGTGTGGTGTGTCCACTGTCATGAAGATGGTGTGGTATACCCGTTGTTATAACGATGTTATGGTGTGTCCACTGTGATGGAGATGTTGACATGTCCACTGTGATGGAGATGTTGGTGTGTCCACTGTGATGGAGATGTTGACATGTCCACTGTGATAGAGATGGTGTGGTGTGTCCACTGTGATAGAGTTGGTGTGGTGTGTCCACTGTGATGGAGATGTTGGTAAGTCCACTGTGATGGAGATGTTGGTAAGTCCACTGTGATGGAGATGTTGGTAAGTCCACTGTGATGGAGATGTTGGCATGTCCACTGTGATGGAGATGTTGGCATGTCCACTGTGATGGAGATGGTGTGGTGTGTCCACTGTGATAGAGATGGTGTGGTGTGTCCACTGTCATGAAGATGGTGTGGTATACCCGTTGTTATAACGATGTTGTGGTGTGTCCACTGTGATAGAGTTGGTGTGGTGTGTCCACTGTGATGGAGATGTTGGCATGTCCACTGTGATGGAGATGTTGGCATGTCCACTGTGATGGAGATGTTGGCATGTCCACTGTGATGGAGATGTTGGCATGTCCACTGTGATGGAGATGTTGGTATGTCCACTGTGATGGAGATGTTGGTAAGTCCACTGTGATGGAGATGTTGGCATGTACACTGTGATGGAGATGTTTTTGTGTCCACTGTGATGGAGATGTTGGCATGTCCACTGTGATGGAGATGTTGGCATGTCCACTGTGATAGAGATGGTGTGGTGTGTCCACTGTCATGAAGATGGTGTGGCATACCCGTTGTTATAACGATGTTATGGCGTGTCCACTGTGATGGAGATGTTGGCATGTCCACTGTGATAGAGATGGTGTGGTGTGTCCACTGTCATGAAGATGGTGTGGTATACCCGTTGTTATAACGATGTTGTGGTGTGTCCACTATGATGGAGATGTTGGCCATTCCACTGTGATGGAGATGTTGGTGTGTCCACTGTGATGGAGATGTTGGCATGTCCACTGTGATGGAGATGTTGGTGTGTCCACTGTGATGGAGATGTTGGTAAGTCCACTGTGATGGGGATGTTGGCATGTCCACTGTGATGGAGATGTTGGTGTGTCCACTGTGATGGAGATGGTGTGGTGTGTCCACTGTGATGGAGATGTTGGCATGTCCACTGTGATAGAGATGGTGTGGTGTGCCCACTGTGATGGAGATGTTGGCATGTCCACTGTGATGGAGATGGTGTGGTGTGTCCACTGTGATGGAGATGTTGGCATGTCCACTGTGATGGATATGTTGGTGTGTCCACTGTGATGGAGATTGTGTGGTGTGTCCACTGTCATGAAGATGGTGTGGTATACCCGTTGTTATAACGATGTTGTGGTGTGTCCACTGTGATTGAGATGTTGGCATGTCCACTGTGATGGAGATGTTGGTGTGTCCACTGTGATGGAGATGTTGGTAAGTCCACTGTGAAGGAGATGTTGGTAAGTCCACTGTGATGGAGATGTTGGCATGTCCACTGTGATGGAGATGTTGGCATTCACTGTGATGGAGATGTTGGCATGTCCACTGTGATGGGGATGTTGGTATGTCCACTGTGATGGAGATGTTGGCATGTTCACTGTGATGGAGATGTTGGCATGTCCACTGTGATGGAGATGTTGGTATGTCCACTGTGATGGAGATGTTGGTATGTTCACTGTTATAGAGACTGTGTGGTATGTCCACTGTCATGGAGACTTTGTGGTATGTGCAGATTGATAGAGATGTTGTGGTGTCATGTAATGTCAGATGAAATGAGAGATGAGATGTCAGATGACAGGCACGTGCCCGCTCCACTTTTATAGTCAAACGCGCGTCCAACACTTTCCACGCAGTGCTTGACCAGTCCAGTGTCACAAGAACATCACCAAACATTCCACATGTTTTTAACGCTTGACATCCATCCATGTTATTCCAGACGTTCACAGATAATTCGAGCATCTAAATATAATAACTTTCTCACCACTGCTTACATGAAACAGCACTACTCTCCTGACAACCAATCACTGTCCAAACACAATGCAATGAACCTCCACTGAATCTCAACAGAAACAATGGAACACAGTACCGAACATTGTTTAACAATATATACTGAACCGCAAAAGAAACGTCACCATGGATAGATATATGAGAAACCATATTTGTCAAAACACTGTAAACATACTTTGAGACATATTAAAAAGATGAAACTTGCCCAAACTGATGATCAGGGTTGAAATTAAAGTGTCAAAAGTTCTTAAAGTGAAACACAGCAACTAGTCTCTATGAAAATGACATCCGGGTGAGTATCTGGTGTTTCCGCCATGTGCATTGATGACTGCCGTGCAACGTCGACACATGGAATGGATGAGGCGGTTGATGAAGGCCATGGGCACTTGAGTCGACACTCTGAGGAACGTCTGACGTAGTTCAGCTGCAGTTGTCGGCCTTGGCCGGACGTCATTCAGCCGTCTTTGAATCTCGTCCCACAGGTGCTCAGTGGGATTTAAATCGGAACTGACGGCAGGCCACTGCATGGTTCTGATGCCATTTTGCTGGAGGGAGTGTCTTGTTCCTCTCGCAGTGTGGGCACGGGCGTTATCATGCTGAAACTCGTGGTTGCGGCGACGTGCCAAATGGGGTATGGCCAGTGGTCTCAAGACTTGATCAATGTACCGAGCTGCTGTGACACCATTGCCTCTCCCTGGACCGATGTTCTGAAAGACCACAGAGCCGATCCTCTGTGCAAGACCAATTCCACCCCACACCATGATGCTCGTTCTCCAAGGCGTCGCCAGACTCTCTCTCTCTCTCTCTGCCATATGCTGTGAGATACAGTAACGGCTGTCGTCTGAGAAGAGGACGCTTCTCCACTGCTGGTGGCGTCAATGCTGGTGCTGTGTTGCCCACTGAAGACGGTCCCGGCGATGAAGTGGTGTCAGAATGGGTCCTCGGTGTGGCCTGTTACAGTGGAGGTGTCTGCTCGTCGATCGTCGACGCACGGTGTCCGCACTAATGTGTGGCTGGTGTGTTCCCATGGTCTGTCGAGCAGTTTCCGCAGCAGTAACAAAGCCATCTTGAAGATGCTGTCGCACAATCTGACGATCCTGACGTCGGGTGGTGATCCTTGGTCTTCCACTACGTGGTCGGTCATCTGTAGTGTTGGTGGTCTGGTCTAGTCTTGGCGCTTTGTCCAGCTTGCAATTGTCCAAGGTCTTGGTGTCGCAGATTTCTTGTCAATCTTGGCATGTGGAGTGAGTGAGTAAATGTTGCTTTAAGCCGCATCAACAATATTCCAGCTATTCGCGGCTAGCTTGGCATGTGGTAGCAATTCAATAATGTGAATGTGCAATTTGCACGGAACTCACGTGCATTGGGTTACTATGGCCGTTGCTGTGATGCGTTTGGGCGATCGGTTAAATGCCTGTCAAGGACTTAAGACGCCGTTAATCCCAATGTTACGTAAATATATCATTATAGTTGAGGTGAAAATATTTTTTATTACATTTAAAACATCGATGTTTTCTGTTACACTTCTTGTGCTATGTGATAAGCCATGCTTATATTTGTTTGTTTTGTTGTGAACGTTACATGTGATTTGAAGTATAGGCCATGTATTTCATTGCTGTGTGTGTACATATGGCTAATAGTCACAATCAGAAACGTTTGTTGCTTGGGCGGGCGGTAGGCAGGTAACGCCTTCAATGGTATGAACTAGAGCATGAGTGTCAATGTACCATCAGGACAGGTACATAAAGAGGTGCGAGTATATGTCTCATGAGGCAGAACCGTTTATGTCCTCATTTTGAACTGTCACTGGTACTCTGTCTTACTCCGATTACACATTATGAAACGAGTGCATTTATATTCTATTCGCGTACTATGATTCTACAATCAATTAACGATTTGTCGGTGGACCCTTACCTTAGCATTAATCCTTATTACAATGACATTGGCATATGTAATCCACACGTTATAATTGTTGCCCCCTAATCTCTCACTCTCTCTATATATATTGCGGTACACGTTAACTTTTTTTGTTATAGTTTCTGCAATGTTTTTGAATTGGAAGTGGAATTACCCCTTCTTTTTGAAATTTATTGGAAATAAAAAACACCTATGCACACACACACACACAAGCCAGCCTACTATGCACAAGCTAGTCAACCCATACACATGTTAACCAGCCGTTGACACGCTCGCCAAACCATACACAAGCTACCCAACCATACACAACATAGTTCACACATACACATGCAAGTCAACCCATACACATGCTATTTAAAGCATGCACACCGTATTCAACCCATATACAAGTCAGTCAACCCATACCAAAAGACGCCCAAAGATGGCACACTCTGTCCTTGTGATCGGGCTGTCGCGGACAGACTCTCATGTGTAGGCTGGGTGTTGGTGGAGCATAGGTACTCTGTCCTTGTGGTCGGGCTGGTTGTGGACAGACTCTCATGTGTAGGCTGAGTGTTGGTGGAGCATATGTAGTCTGTCCTTGTGGTCGAGCTGTCGTGGACAGACTCTCATGTGTAGGCTGGGTGTTGGTGGAGCATAGGTACTTCGTCCTTGTGGTCGAGCTGTCGCGGACAGACTCTCATGTGTAGGCTGAGTGTTGGTGGAGCATAGGTACTCTGTCCTTGTGGTCGAGCTGTCGCGGACAGACTCTCATGTGTAGGCTGAGTGTTGGTGGAGCATAGGTACTCTGTCCTTGTGGTCGGTGTGGTTGTGGACAGACTCTCATGTGTAGGCTGAGTGTTGGTGGAACATATGTAGTCTGTCCTTGTGGTCGGGCTGGTCGTGGACAGACTCTCATGTGTAGGCTGAGTGTTGGTGGAGCATAGGTACTCTGTCCTTGTGGTTGGGCTGGTTGTGGACAGACTCTCATGTGTAGGCTGAGTGTTGGTGGAACATATGTAGTCTGTCCTTGTGGTCGGGCTGGTCGTGGACAGACTCTCATGTGTAGGCTGAGTGTTGGTGGAGCATAGGTACTCTGTCCTTGTGGTCGAGCTGTCGTGGACAGACTCTCATGTGTAGGCTGAGTGTTGGTGGAACATATGTAGTCTGTCCTTGTGGTCGGGCTGGTTGTGGACAGACTCTCATGTGTAGGCTGAGTGTTGGTGGAGCATAGGTACTCTGTCCTTGTGGTCGGGCTGGTTGTGGACAGACTCTCATGTGTAGGCTGAGTGTTGGTGGAGCATAGGTACTCTGTCCTTGTGGTCGGGCTGGTTGTGGACAGACTCTCATGTGTAGGCTGAGTGTTGGTGGAGCATAGGTACTCTGTCCTTGTGGTCGAGCTGTCGTGGACAGACTCTCATGTGTAGGCTGAGTGTTGGTGGAACATATGTAGTCTGTCCTTGTGGTCGGGCTGGTTGTGGACAGACTCTCATGTGTAGGCTGAGTGTTGGTGGAGCATAGGTACTCTGTCCTTGTGGTCGGGCTGGTTGTGGACAGACTCTCATGTGTAGGCTGAGTGTTGGTGGAGCATAGGTACTCTGTCCTTGTGGTCGAGCTGTCGTGGACAGACTCTCATGTGTAGGCTGAGTGTTGGTGGAACATATGTAGTCTGTCCTTGTGGTCGGGCTGGTTGTGGACAGACTCTCATGTGTAGGCTGAGTGTTGGTGGAGCATAGGTACTCTGTCCTTGTGGTCGGGCTGGTTGTGGACAGACTCTCATGTGTAGGCTGAGTGTTGGTGGAGCATAGGTACTCTGTCCTTGTGGTCGGGCTGGTCGTGGACAGACTCTCATGTGTAGGCTGAGTGTTGGTGGAACATAGGTAGTCTGTCCTTGTGGTCGGGCTGGTTGTGGACAGACTCTCATGTGTAGGCTGGGTGTTGGTGGAACATATTTACTCTGTCCTTGTGGTCGGGCTGGTCGTGGACAGACTCTCATGTGTAGGCTGAGTGTTGGTGGAGCATAGGTACTCTGTCCTTGTGGTCGAGCTGTCGCGGACAGACTCTCATGTGTAGGCTGAGTGTTGGTGGAGCATAGGTACTCTGTCCTTGTGGTCGAGCTGTCGCGGACAGACTCTCATGTGTAGGCTGAGTGTTGGTGGAGCATAGGTACTCTGTCCTTGTGGTCGAGCTGTCGCGGACAGACTCTCATGTGTAGGCTGAGTGTTGGTGGAGCATATGTACTCTGTCCTTGTGGTCGAGCTGGTTGTGGACAGACTCTCATGTGTAGGCTGAGTGTTGGTGGAACATATGTACTCTGTCCTTGTGGTTGGGCTGGTTGTGGACAGACTCTCATGTGTAGGCTGAGTGTTGGTGGAACATATGTACTCTGTCCTTGTGGTTGGGCTGGTTGTGGACAGACTCTCATGTGTAGGCTGAGTGTTGGTGGAGCATAGGTACTCTGTCCTTGTGGTCGGGCTGTCGCGGACAGACTCACATGTGTAGGCTGGGTGTTGGTGGAGCATAGGTACTCTGTCCTTGTGGTCGAGCTGTCGCGGACATGCTCTTACGTGTGGGGTTACTTTATACTGCATGGGTGGTGGTGGTTCTGCATGGGTCTTTCACATAACACATATTATTACAATTCTATGATCAATCGAGCGTTCCCAAAATGCTCGTTACAATTGTGATCTGTCAGTGTGTTGAATGTTGATAACATTTATATTCATCAACAATTATCTCACCCTATAATCCGTTTTACAAATCACTTTTACATGTTGACACTTCTCCTTGAGTTTATATTTCTCCATATTTAAGGACATGTTTATATAAAAATTGATGTTGCAGATGCAAACTTTGTGACTAAAAACTGGCAGATATAAGAAGAATGAGCCATACCATTTAAGGTATTGCCTTTACTCTAAATTAATGATAGTAATTACACTGAAGATGAATTTCATTTTATATTTTTAAATTATTCATGAGTTAAGCTTGTATTTATATGGTGTTCAAAAATAAGGGATTGTGATGTTGTGGTAAGGCCGAATAACTTGGTTGATAGCGTGTATCCCAACGGCGTATATCGTTGCTCATAATATAATTGCTACATGTTAACATTTACATCCATGTTGTACCTCACAGAAGATTACTGTGTCTTTCAGTTTATAACGGGAACGAATCCCTATGCCATATGTATCCACATTAAAGGGGAAGTGTACACGCAAAAATTACTTTCTTTCTTTTTCTAAACAAAACGCAATTTTAGAATTAGTTAGTATCTGTGTTTGAAAATATACACTCATTTTTTTCACAGTGAAAGTAGGAAGCTCACAATAGTGTGAAAATGATATGCCGTTATGAGGCCTTCGTTTTTCGAGCTAAACAGGCCTGAGTTATCCCCCTTAGATTATGACGTAATTGGTGCCAATTCAACTGGGTCCCTGTCTATTCTCAACGCAAAAGATATCAAGTACAAGTTTTCGGTAAAACAACATGGCCTACGACACACTCCGGCGCAGTGGTGACTCAGCATAACACTATGCTGGCTGGCATCTGCGACGCTAGAATCACACACCTGGACCTACACCACGTGAAGCGGCTCTAACAAAGCATGATGACGTCATAATGTTTATCAATTGGCACCAATGACGTCATATTGCAAGGGGCATAAGCCATGGTGTTTTTGTTATGGAAATAGAACACTTGGTAAATGTGAAAAATATAAATCGTTTTAATGCAAAACATATGGTGATTAATTGTGATATTTTTATATTTTTGTCTATGACACTTCTAGGTTAACACTTTTATTGTGGAAAAAGTACAAGAAAATGAGGTTCATTTCCGTGTGAACTTGCCCTTTAAGGCGAATAATTGCCTATATAAATATGAATCAATTTTGAGAAGGGTTGGAGGGGTGGACACATAGCTGTGTTTCTAATTGTAATGCTAAGTAGCTTTCTCGTAAACCCCGGGCGTGTTACACAACATAAGTAGGGTCAAGCCATGGTAATATTTCATGTTTAAACGGTGCATTGGTATACACAGTTTGAGTGCAACCTTGAGTTGGTTTACATGTTAAATGTCCACATATTCAGCATACACTGAACTCTCGTTAACTCTAAGTGCTTTGGACATGTTCTCTCCCAACACGGTTTTCTAGACACTCGATACTTTTTGCACACAGTAGGGGAAGAAAGTGATGATAGTTACGCGCGTATTGTTCCGCTCATGTGATGGCGAGGATGATGGCAATACAACACAGGGTAAACAGGACGAGGGTTCCGCAATGACATTACAAAATATCACACAGAGGAAGGTAAAAGAAAACTTTGGGCTCAGAGTTCAAGGCTCGTAAAAAACAAAGCTTCAAATGCGTATGCATTGCCTGTTCAGGCCTGTTCATTTGGAGTGATTGATTGGACAAAACGAAGACATCCGGGGTCAAGGCCACCTCAAAAGAAAGGTCATGTAAGACAATGGAGCTCTCCACCATCCTTCACTAAATCGTTTATATGTGTGAATCAATTCTAGAGGGCGCAGTTTGGCTAATTTGGAAGCCCTACATGACCAAATTATACTTGCACATTTGCACAAATTTATATGTCCGATGATCCTCTGGTTTGCCAACTCAAGACTCCCCAGGAAAGCACGGCATTCTACACTTACTTCAAACGTGCAAACGTTGTTGGTCGGTCTCTAAATGTTGATGTCAATTTTGTTGAGGGGTCTGTACTGCAGTCTATAAATATGTTCTATCAAGAATGACATTCCACTTTAGACGATAGTTCACGTTATGAATATTACAAAAGTTTCAAGACTTGACATCAACCAGAAATATATTTATCAGTACTCACTACGGAAAACTTAAGGAAACATTTCATAAAACATCGACTTGGTTTACTAGACTAATTTGTAAATGAAGGCAGAAAACTGTCGATTGAAAAATTGAAACGAATTTGTCTAATTACAATAATATTCGAAAGAAATATATCAAAGCTTATTTAATAGCAATGTCACCAATAAACGATGACAAAGAAAGAATCTAATATATTTAATTTGTCTCTATATATTAAGTATGCATTTGCCAAAAGAAATTAATTAATCAAATAACGTGTATATCCAATGTGTAATATTTATAACTGTGTTTAAATGCGTACTCCCTCTTGTTTATGGGCCGGATGCCTTTTGTACAATAAACTTGTTTTGACCTTACAGGTGTCAACCTAGCACAGTGCCATATCAAGTGACTCTTTTGTTTAGATGAAGACTACAGGAATAAAAGTCGAAACAGGGATTTCTGTTTGCCGCACAGACCAGTCACTTCCAACCCGAAAACGTCAAAATGAAATTTTATAGCAACATGTTAATATCAAAAATACATTATGTGATGAATTTAGTGAAACTGTCAGTGGATGCGCTACTTTGGTTCAAACCTGTTACTTTAAAAGACATGGTTGCATGGTTCGGTTATATTGTATCATTATCTTCGTGGATTTTGATACAAGGCGTCATGGAAAATGACAATTACATAATTTTAGGCTCAAATACAACCTGAGACAAATTCAAACCAAATAAATGTTATCTTGTCCTGTTTGATAACTGCAAATTGAGTAAATGGATAAGTATATATATTATTAAGTTTCAATCCCTTTTGACAGCAGTGTGATTAGCAAGATTCAGGGATGAAATGGCAAATTTGCGGAGCTCATGTATGTGAAAACGCGCCTGCATCCCAAGAATGAAGATGTCCGACTCACCATTGTCCTCCGCGCCTTAGGCTTGGTACCTCCTGATATCTTAGCACAGATGAGGACATCGCCCGGGTTGCCGAGAATACAAAACCTTTGACAATCAGGGTGATGCAGAAGTGTGCAGTGTTGGGAAACCTTCATAAACTTAGAAAGGTTCTTGGTCCGACTGGGACGCGCTTCCTGGGAGGGTCCCATTCGCTGTGGGGGTTGCGAGTAGAGTGAGCAAGGCTACCTCAGAGTACCTGAGCTGATGGTGAGCCTCATCTTATACATGAAAACCTCGTTATGTCGAACTCCATTTTATCTTTGTATGGTTCTTTTACGGAGCCAGATTCTTATCGGGCAATGTTGTATTTTGAGACCTTCGAATGTTTCTGAATTCTGATAACACGATTTTTTGTAATGGGTCCCAGGGCAAATACGGGTTCACTAAAATTCTAACAGGGTAAAGGAGGGAATGTTATCTAACGCGATCTACCGAGCTACGAAAGTTAAATTGGATGAGGCTTTATTTGGCAATATTACATTTTTATACAACATTTTCTCCCCCCAACAACGCCTCGATGGTCTGGTGGTAGAGTGTCCGCCCGGAGAGCGGAAAGATCCGGGGTTCCATCCGCGGCCGCGTCATACCAAAAGACGTCAAAAGATGGTACTTGTTGTTACCCTGTCTGGCGCTCGGCATTAAGGGGCTTAAACAAGGACTGGTCGGCTCGGAGTTAGTATACTGTTTCTGAGTGGGGTATTCATGTTAAACTGCGGCATTGTATCTCAGTGTGCCAGCACTATAAATCGGCATCGGTCCAGACTAGTACAAGCAGCCACATACACACCCGCACTTGCATGCACGTCACTATATAAGTGCGAAAACGTTAAACCCCATTTCACCTCAGCTTCTACCTCCAACATCAAGCAACATAACTATGTGTTATAAGATAATTGATTTCAAACGAGGAGGCCTGTGTGTATATCCAACACAATCCTCCCGCAGCACAACACAACGAAACAAATTGCACATTTTAGATAACCTCGAAAGTCTACCCACACACTAAGGAGGGAGTTATACCCCTATGGACATAATATCAATTCACCCACCTATTTTTGAACATACAAAATTTGGCTCAGGACATAAAAATCAAGTACTTGTTTTCCTCCCAGTCCCGACGATGTTTATTTGAATACAGATCTTGAAAACCTTTAAAAGGCAATTAAGATACATTATTCCCTTACCTAAAATGGATATAAACCTCTAAAGTGAATTTTAAACGTTTATTGCAAATAGAAGGACATTGTGTAGCTCAACGTGATAATCAAAGCCGCCCTTCATCAGCACTTGTTGTGAGACATTGAAATTAAATGTTTTGTGTGCAGTAAACATGTAGGACGATAAAGCCCCGGAGGCTTTTTCGGGGGTGGGCTTCGAGAGAACAAACAGTTTTCATACCCGCAAGATTTTGAAAGTCATTTGTTATGCATTGTGTGCAAATACGGTGAAGGAGATTGCACAGGGAAATATATGATTAACAGAGGCACAAGTTGTTCGAGAGAACATAAAAGGAAATGTCCTCCTTGTTTAGAGTATCGTCTATGTTTATCACCGGGCCAACACAAACTTCAACAGCACGTCTATTGTGTGCACATAAAGTTGGCATGGGGGAATTAATGTTGTTTTACGACTCGGCTAGCAGTAGTCCAGCTGTACCCTGCCGTATTATAAATAATCTGTCAAGTGAGTGAGTGAGTTGGGTTTAACGCCGCTTTTAACAGTATTCCAG